TTCACGGAGAAATTGCACATTGGACAGCAACGCTTCGTACTTCTCCCGCTTATGCAAAGAAGCAGCAAGTACAATATTCTGGTATGTATACTGATCCAATGTGTAGAGAACACAGTTTGTCACACTTCGAATAGTCGCCACACACGTCGGAAGATTGTACATCATTTCCATCTCTCCAAATGTACTACACTCCAGTAATGTATGTACCCTTTTGCCATTTTTGATGACATCACAGGATCCTTGTGTAAGGAGAAACAATTTTTCTACAGAAGCCCCATCCTGTTTCAGAATATCCGTCCCCGCAGGAAAGGTGACCCGTTTTAACGCCTGAACAATAATGGACTGATCCTTGCTATCCATGTTGCTAAACAGGTGGCACGCCATGACACCAGCCCGGACGATTCGCTCCTCTTCAGGAGATTTTGCTACCACCGGCGGGCTGTAGCTTCTTATCACGTTCAGCGGCAAAGACTCCGCTGACACCGCGGCGCGTCGTCCGTAACTCACCAATGGCTCCCCTCTGCTGGCAATTAGGGGCGGCGGCGGCTGAGGGCATCCATCCAGCTCGGCAGCTCTCTCCATCTCATCTTCATTTACTCTCTTCGCCTCCGCGCGTTCCGCCACGTGCGCTGCATCTTCAGTCTCCACGAACTCCCGCGTCCGCTCTTGCTGAGACGGTAATTCTCGACCTGCCGTGCTGACAGAATTCCAGTTGCTGTTGTGAGGGGTGGGTGGGGCTTCGCCGCCAGAAGGGTGCGACTCGTAGTTGAACGAGAGCTTCGCTATCAGTGACGAGGCAGGCGACAAATTGTTGTTGTCCCCGCCACGCGTGTCCACGGTGGTTGTGGAGGGCTCCGAGAGCCCCTGCCGCTCCGACTCAAGAAGTTGAATGACGGTTACGAGCGTGGCCTCCTTTTCGACGGAGTCAACCAGAGATCTGATATGCCCTCGCAGATTCTCCACGCTACGCTGCGGCGTTGAGCCAATAACATCAAACTCCAACAACGATATTTCTGTCGCTCCAAACGTCTCCACTAAAGGGTGAACTGAGGAACGCCACATTACCTGTCAATTGCGTTTTAACGGAAACACTTGTCCTTTTGGAAATAATGAAATAAAAAGGGGATGCCTCTCCCTGTAAATGAATGTCTGCTGGAGTATTTCTCTGCGTGATTATGTATATATATATATATATATAAGGATATAAATATACATATATTTCCCCCTCATGCACGTAACAATGAGGAAGGGAAAACAAAAAAAAAAAGCAACAACAACAACAACAACAACAAAGCCAAGTGTTTCATTGAAGACATAATTTATCAATGCATAAAACTACACAATGGCGGCAGCTCCTGCAACAGGCATCCCCCCCATCCTAATCCAATGAAAGGGGGAAAACCGCACAGAATTGCCTCCCAGCCCCACCCACTCCGCTGACAAATGCCTCAGGGAGGGAGGGCAAAAAGAAGGAGGAAGAAAAGAAAAGAAAATAAATTCATTCATAAATAGAAAAAACAGAATCAAAAAAAAGTTGCCGAACTGCAAGATGCCTTCCAGTCTTGCACACCCCAAATACGGCGGCCAGTATGTTCTTCCTTGTTCTAGAGCGCAGTGACGCAATCCCTTTCTGCTCCGGCACGTTGCATGCCGCTGCAC